AAATATGTTTTCTAAAATGTAACACACTTTGTTGTGTTTTGATAAATGTTTTTCTTCATCTTTTTTTATTTAACAACTAACTTTGATTATGTCACACTGATTTCAAACACTAGAATACAAATAAAAAATGTACAAAGAAGAAATATTAAAACAAGTTTAGCAACTTATACACAAACAAAACATGATGACCTATGCTGAATGCATTTTATTGAATAAAAAGCGTTAAGCTTGGCATGTCTGCTGCAGTGAAGCTGCTGATTACTGTTCAGCTCACAGCAGACACATCCAGCTGCCACACATTTTGCCCACATCATCTCTGACAAACTCACAAGAAGGGCACTTGAGCAGGACTCTGTGTTATTAGACCTCAAGAGTGGAAAAGAAAGAGAAAAGGGCGTTTCAGCTGGAAAAGTCCTGTTGTGAAACACCAGCCGACGCTGTGGCAGAGTAACAAAACATACTTACCTCTCGGCTGGTGGTCTGCTGCTCGTGGCATGAAGTGACTCCGCAGGGAAAGCTAGAAGGTTGTACAGTTATCTCCGGGCTGTTTATTATGCGAAACCATACAACCAACTACCTCACACTGCAGAGCCCAGATTGTAGAGCTGCTCTCCAGACTGGATCCTCAACAGCAGGACGTAGGTGTGTGTAAACACACACACTCTGCACCTGTCTGCCTGCTGTCCTCTAAATGACCATTTACCTCATGTCCCTCTTTACTCTTCCTATAGTACTGCCATACCTTTGATAAGTTTTGTGGATGACCTGCACAAGCTTAAAGGGGGTTTCCTTCTTGGATTTAAAAAAGTATATATTATAAAGAAAGTGTGAGTTTTTCTGGGTTAGTTTCAGGACTTTTATTTTAAACTAAAAACCAGAGTTGATAGAAATGGCATTTAACAAAATGAAAAGAAGCTATTTTAATCTCATTCACCTAACTCAATCTTATTTCTATCTGCAGTCTTGATTGCATTTTCATTCAAACGCAGCCCCAGTAAGTGCTGCAGTGACGTCACAGGAAGGCAACAATGTCCTGTGGCTGCAGCAGAGGGTGCACAGGACTTTACAAGAAAAGCACAACCATAAAGAGCTCAAAGATTCATCTTCCTCTATATATTTGTAGATGGATGCCAGTGGAGGACAAAAAATATAAAACAAATGTTATGATCAAACACAAGGCAAGTTTAATGTTTTTTTTTTCTGTCTAAGCTCCTCGTGCAGGTGTCAGGAGTCTCTTTAGCAGCGTTTCAAAATGTTTCTTAGGCGCTGTTGCCCTCTAGTGGTGACTATACAAACTACAGCTCACCTCCACAAATGTCCTAGTGTTTCTTTGGACTCAACAACAAGACAACTCCAACACTAGAAATGTCTGTGTCGCTTTAAAAAGCAAAAAATGGACAAATTAAGCTCTTTTTTCTAAAACAAAAAAGAGCAATAATCCCGACTTTATTAACAGCGCAGTGTTTGCATCTTACTGAGATTCTGCTGCACAGCTGTCAGGTTTTCACAGGAGTTGAGCAGCATCTGTCTCCAACATCAGTCCTCCTGTCATGTCTTGATGTAAGATGTCTTAATCTGGTACACGTCTGCTTTCGTGGTCGTAAAGGAGTTTCCTCGAAGTCGGAAAATTATTAAAATGTGACTTTTAAACTCGACCATTTCAGGCGCTCTCTTCAGAAAAGATAATTGTTGTGCAGAGCATGACGGCTGGCAGAGCGGTGCATTCCAGCAGCCAAGAGTCGGGAGTGTTGGGTTACTCCGAGCACGGATTCAGACATAACTGGGGCAAGATGATATGCTGTTGAGATGCCATTAAAAGAATTTCTGCAGGCCCTTATCGGAACCAAAAATGCAATAACAGACACAATCAAAGTAAATTTAGGACTTGTAAATATTAAGAAGAATGCACAGCAGGAGTAAACGGGAGCTTGGGATTGTTGCTTGGTATGTAGGAATTAAAGGAATCCATCTTTCAACAAATAAAACCCACTGGAGACTTCTCGTTTGGTTTGTGTTTGAAAGGCTGTATTCATTTTGTTCCCCCTGCTGCTTTCTTTTAATCTGCTGGACCCTTCCCGCCCTCCTGCTCTCCTTCTTCTCTTCACAGACTCAGTCTTTTCCCTGATTGGTCCCCGTTTTTAGCCTTTCACCCTGTTAACCATCCTCTGTCTCTCTGAGCCCAATGGACCCCCCCCCCCCACACCCCACTACAAGATTAACCCCTCATCCCTGCAATATATCCACAGTGAATTCACACAGAAATACTGTGTAATTGTGCCAGTGTCTGCTATCCTTCACTCTTCCTCTCATTCGGCCCTGAAGCGACCCCGCCTGGACCGTGAAAATCCAGTTCGTTATGAAAAATATCTGCAGCCCTTCCTAAAAAAAGAACGAAAAAAAAAAAGGAGCGGTGTCACTTCGAGTTCAAAATTCCTCACATGCTTGATTATTTTCCACAAACTGTCCACGGAGACAGATAACTGCGGCACTTTTTAAAAAGCCTGGACACAGCAGGACCTGGCAGCGGTTTCATTCTGCAGGAGATCAAATGAAAATGATGCACCTCTGGCCGAATGAATGAATGGAAACCGCTCCTTCTCACAGACCTGATTTTCACGCGTCACATTTCAATTATTAAATTTCAATATGTAACTTCGTCTTCCGCTCTGCGTTCAAATGTAGCATCTCCCGAGTGTTGCGTCAGCGTTGCAGAAAATGTGAATGCCTTTTCTCTCCCAAGTGAAAGCAGCTCTCTGTCCTACACTAATCCGCCTTGGTTGACGCCAACCTTGTGCACCAAGATGGCAAAATGAAGGTTGCCATGGGAACCTTTTTGCCTGGTAACCCCAACAGCCTGGCAACTAGCCAAACTGTTGCCATGGCACAGCTATCAATTTACGCATGCAGGGACTGGTGTGTGTGAGTGGCCTTTGGAAACACCACCCTTTGAAAGACTCCAATCAAACACAAGCTGGAAGAATTCATTTGATATGACACTAAGCATTGAGGTGGAGGGGTGTTTAATGAAAAAAAAAACAGCTTGGCTCAAAGGCAGTGTCAAAGCAAAGATGGAAAACATTTTTGTGAAATACTTTAAGACATCTTATGAATTATTTTCAGCATCTTTGCACCATCATCTTGTAAGCTGCATCAAAGTAGGTCTGATGATGATTAATTTATATCTGTGTTTGCAGCTGGCACTGAAATGTTGGAAAAACACAATTAGAAGACACGATTACAGGCCAATTAATTAAAGGACAAAAATATATATTTAGTTTCAAGGCCTAAAGTGCCTCAGTGTTAATCTGTTCTGTGGGCTAAAATTAAAAACCAATCTGCTTGTGTACGGTTTGAATATTTGAAGCCGTTACGTTTGTTTTTTTACAAAGCTGCAGCCGTTGGGTCTGCAGCTTTGTAAAATAAAGTCAGCTGAAATGCTGCTGCGATAAATGAGTTTGCAAAAACACTAGCTAGCAAACAAAATGTGCCTCAGGGAAAAGAATGTCATGAGAATTAAAAGTCCACATAAATGTTTGGACAATGCACTATAATGTCAAACAGCATTTTGTTTGACAAAGTTCAGTCAGGTCATCTGGACGGTTTCTTTTTGTTGTTGTTGTTGAGACGTTTCATCCTTCATCCAAAGGACCTCGTAAGTCTGAGGAGCTGAATTTGTTGTGGCTCCTCTGACTTATGAAGTCCTTTGGATGAAGGACGAAACGTCTCAACAAACAAAGAAACCGTCCAGATGACCTGACTGAACTTTGCTGGATTTTTTACCTGGATTATTGAAGCATTTTTTTTGGTTTTACGAACATAAATAAACAGACGACTGATTAATAACTCGTTCTCACCTGTTTGCTTTTACTTTCCATGTGCTGCACAAACATTTTCAAAACACAGTGAGTATTTAGGTTTTGTTTTTTTGGGGGGGGTTTTTAACAAGAAGGCACAAATCTGTGATCTGCAACCAAAGCAGGACGTTAACTCTCTCAGATCATTTTTTTATTGTCCGCTACCATGAAAGGTGATGGATCACACAACGCAGGTGAATTTGTGTGTGTTAGCTATCGATAAATATTTCATGAACAAAAAGACGGAATATTCTGAAATGGGATGCACGTGTATCTGATTCATTTTTAGAGTTCATTGCAGGGGTTCCCAACCCTAGTCCTTGAGGAACACCAACCTGCATGTTTTACTTTATCTGCTCAGACACACCTGATTTTAATTAATGGGTGATTAACAGGCTTCTGCAGAACATGAGAAAGTAATTAAATCACTGAATCAGGTGGGCTGGAGCAAGGAAACAACTAAAACATGCAGGATGGTGTTCCTCAAGGACCAGGGTTGGGAACCCCTGGATTAGAGATGACTGCCACAGCCAACTGACTAGCATAAAAATGTCTGAATCAGTAAATCTTACACAGTTAGGTAAAACTTTGGTGTGGTAGTAGATGAGAGTCATTTCCAATTTACACTTTATGCATTCAATCATCGCACACAACCTTGTTTTTGAGATTTGACCAGAAAAAAACTAAAATAGCCTATTTTGTATAAATAAGATGCTAAAACCTCGGCATAAAAGAGGGTGAGTGTTGTGTAGTCCTTCAAGGAATGTTGGATCTTTAATTATTTTAGGTTTTTGATTTTTGATTTTTTTTTTTGGGTGGGAGATTAAAAAGTTTTTATTGGGCTTTTTGAGATTTTCCAGAAGTCTCTCAAATTTATGAAAACTTTTTAAGAAAAATGTGATCAATCCACAGTTATGTTATATTATTATAGTTCTGGCAACAGCTGAATTAGTCCATCCACATTTTTGGCTTTAAATCAAATCAAATAAAAACCTTTGATTAAAAACCAGAAACATGCAGAAAGTTCCACTTTGTGTGTTTTGCATTTTAAATTCTCATTTGTGTGTTAAAAACAATTCAAAGTCCAGTATTGTGAAACATGGGATGGATGAGATATAAATCAGATAACTGTGGGAAGATTTTTACCTTGAAACCACACAGGGCAGAGTCAGTGAGACGAGAAGCAGAATTTGACTGAAAAAAAACACAAAAAACACAAACAAATGCATCAAAGTTAGAGGAAATAAACAACAGACTGTAAACTCAACACATGGGGAGTGACAGTGGAACTTACTACTCCTCTGATCAGGTGTTAAATAGTCAGCTGGGAAGAAATGCTGGTGTCATATTTTACATTCACATCCTGTACTGCTGCTGAGGGAGAATCTAATGTGAAGCAAAACTAGAGAAATTGCATTTCCTGCAGTGTGAATGCTTATTGCTGAAGAACTTGCTGAAAAACAGCTGAAATTAGCTAAAAAACATGCTGAAATGTTTATGCACACATGGTAAAGAAATGGAAGAACAAATCTAAGTTAGCAGACAAAAAGCAGAACACATATTTGCTGAATTAGGTTTAAATCAGCAAAAATTAGCAGAGAAATTAGGAAATTAGCAACAAAAAAAGACAGAAATTAGCCCCCCCC